CTTGTCTATGGAAGAAAGGTGAACTCTGGGTTAACGGATGCCGAATTCCAAGAGTTCCGACATGTCGGTCGGCTCTGGCACCAGTTCGTGCGCGATCCTATCCATTTCCAGCCTACACTTATCCAGCCATGCGAGACGGCCAATCATGTTCAGGAAGAGGATGTTTCGAAACAAGCGTAAGTCATATTTCAACGCGTCATTCCGTGATGTTAACACTTTTTAACATTTCCATGGTAGCAGCGTGTCAGGTAATGCTGCGATTAGATCATCTACTACTCCGTCTAAGCGACGCCAGGATGAGGAGCAAGAGAGCCCGATTGTACGGATCATGGCGGCACGGATGGCGCCTGCTCGAACTCAGTGGTGATGCGTATGGGCCAAACGATGGAGATGCTCCAACGGATGTATGGTGCGAATGCCCAGTATCGAAGCAGTGGGCAGCAGCAGGCTATGAAGTATATTATGGAGGGCAGTGGCCAGGTCCTGGCGATCTACGGATCAGTGAGGGAAAGAGTCTTCTTCATCTCCTTTCCTGTCAACTCCCTGGTATAACTCATACAGCATCTCAATAAATATCATGGTAAGCTCCTACATCGGGTCGAACTGTATTTGCGCCTTTTCCAACAATCTTTTTAGCATATGCAATTGAGCCCAATGACTTCAGACGAACCGTAAACGATAGGTATATCCCATTCAAACTGTACTATTCACAGCAAATCGATTTTGACAGCCTTTTTAGATATATTTATGTGAATGAACGTGCCTATGCAACTCATTTTGGATGCCTGCTTTGCGCTCACCACTTCGCGTTACTACTTGATTTGAAGAAGCACTATGAGCTGATCCATACTAACGGTATTTAAACTTCAAACGTATGATATCACAAGATATGAAAATATCTGACATCATCATCTGTTCTTTGTATAGCATTAAACAAGAATGATTGTGTTATCAGTGATCATACCGTCATATCTCATGCCGAGCAGAGCAATCCCTTTGGTGGGTTTTCATTTCATTAACGACATAGTTCGTGACTGATAAAGTGATAAGGTGTAGTGTTATTAATGACAAGATATTATAGAAGCACAAGTTGTACAACCTGACGATTCTAATACGCAGTAATCCATAGATGATGTTGGTCAAGGAACACGGTGGAAGAATTTGTAAGCTTTATATCTTCTGTATTTTGTCGCAAGGTGATAATGAGCTATTAAGTCTTAGTTATTTTTAGGTGTGGGAAACACGGACGAGAAGTAGAGAGGAAGATTCGTTGCAAACACCTTTCGATGGGCCAGGGGTTATGGCCTGAAGATGACGGAAGAAAGCTTTGAGGAGCACAAACAAAGTATTTGACTATGAAAAACGAATTTAAATGGATGCTCCAATCTGGTCGATTTGTGGAGGATGTTTTGTATGAAGCTGGAAAGGCCATCTCATATGAGCAGTAAGTAACAGCACACAAGTTTCGACAAGGCGTTTTTAATTCACTTTGCATTTCTTTTTCAGTATGTTCCATTCGTTTGCGTACGACGTGGACGATACTGCACTTCAAAAGCACTTTTTACATGAGAAAATCAATGAATTGCGAGCTAAAAATGTCAAGGAGGATCCCACGCTATGCCTGGAGATGCAAGAGCTGCTCCAGAAGCTAAGTGAGGTATGGAGGTATATTATAATATCTTGTAATTGCTAGTGGTGTAGTTGGAACTGATGTTTCGTATTGTAGCAAAGTACATGTGGAGGACTAAAAAGTATCACTGGCTTGGCTGGCCGGTTTGGAAACAAACATGATATCAAAACAGACTTTGATATCAAATCAGTTGTTTATGCTACTGAAAGTTTGTAAGTAATCAAGATACTTTTTTGTTGATCATATGCAGGGAGTTACTGATAGTGAGAATGCAACAGGTTGACTCTGTGGGAAGCACCAGCTAAACCCCTTTTCACTCCACAAAGCGAGCATTGTCATGACATTCATATATGGGGTCCGGTAGTGGACAATCTTTCATGGATGTTGAATGTGTAAAAGTTGTGAGGTACATATGACTGCTTCGGCCAAATGTTGAAATTCGAAGATTGTATTTATTGTTGCAATACCAGAGGAAAATCGTGTAGCATCAGCAGTACGGAAAGAAAGAGAGAGGACACGTCGTGTAGTGGGCTGTCTGATAGACGAAAGGTTGGCCGACGCAGCGACTTTATATCAGAAGCGCAGAAAATGGAAGAAATGTCGAGTATGGTGCAGCGAGTTTGGAAAAATCTTTGATGGCGAATACAACCGAAAGTTGCTGTATGAAGGAAACTTGAAAGTTTCCGAAAACCCTACGTGACACGCTATCTGCACTAGCTGAAAAGGTGTCGTGGCGAAATGAGCTGATAAGAAGCCTACAAACAGTTGGGTATGTGCATGGTGGTAAGCGAAGCGGTGACAGCTCTGGTGATATAATGTTAATTCTGACACGTTTTAGGTCTCGCACTACAAATGATGAGTTTAGACCTTCCTGACGGCTAAGTGACACGCATTACGAAAGGAAAGCTCCTAGAATCCCTGCCACAGTTGGCGAATTCAGCATGGCTGTAAGGTTGATGGCGGAGATGCTACTTATGAAGGTAAGAAAAGTCAATCCCAATTGGCTATGATAATAGCTATTGAATCCATGGAATTAATGATGATTAAAAAATGTCATATAGCAACGAGTGCCTTGCACTGTCGGATTTTGTCCAAGTCTACCTTCAGCATTGATGACATTGGGTTGCATAGCCGTAAAGTGACAAGGACTTTAACAACAAGCTTGACGACACCTACAAAGCCACAACCGGTATCAGGGCAAAAGAGTAAAGCTTTCACATAGAGATTTGCTCGAGGAACTTACAAATGCATAATCAAAACAATACCCTGTAGTAAAGAAAATTAAAGCTACCTCATCTCATATTTGTTTTCCTCTGAATATGATAAAAAAAAAATGATACCAAACTTAAACATGATGAACTGGCTTTAAGCTGTAGCGTAATGATGCTGCATTCATTGGGCTATCATTCGTTTGACATAAAAGTTAATGTACAAGTTGAAAATAGCAAATGATGCTTTTTATTAAACAAGATCCTTTTATTTCATTGCTCAATTTATGTCATTGCACTAAGCTAAAGTTCGTTTAAAGATAGCATGTATACCTTTAAAGGCCTCGGACTTTTTTCCCTCAAGTATCACCGTTCTGCGAAGTGTGCAATGTTCAGGAATGTCCTCTGGTGCCGATAAAATCATAAAAAGATGGAGTTAGTTATTAAAAGGTGAGATACTGAGATTGTTGATTTGGAGAGTCGCAAAATTACGAGATTCAAAGCAGTAGGTACGTTCATGCAGACGATAAGGATGAGTAGTATGTTGTGTGAGGTGACTTGACCAGGTTTGCATGGATGGGTGATGCTAAGGTGTGGTAAAAAAAAGCATTGAAATATACTTGTGATAGTGCAAATGGCAGAGAATGAAGAAGTTCAAATCTTTGCTTCATCAAAAAGTGATAAAGTTATTTTTTTCAATACATTATAGATAACTTTTCTGTCATCTCCTCTTTCCGTTTATTGACCTAAAAGTCCTTCCGCAACTCATTGTCAAAGGACTCCAACTACGAAGAAGGAAAAGAGAATATGAAAAATGAGAGAGAGGCGTTCTCGTAAGAGAGCTAATCTGTTCAACAAGAGCTTAATCTCAGTGGATCGTAACAACACGGTTACTCTGCCGCTTACAATACCCCGTTGTATATTCATGTCGTCTGCAAAGGATTTTACATCTCCAATATTTGAAATTATCATGCGCCAGGAGAACAGCTAACCTTTCCGTTAACTAGCCTGACCTAACAAAAAATATCATTCAAGACACAAGTTCTATTTTTATGCCATTAACTGAATGGAAAAGATGATGGTATTTGGTGCTGTAAAGTTCTCATTTTTTTTAAGGTTGTAATAAGATTATGACATCTCATTTTTATACTTAATTTGGGTAATTCCTTGTGCAAAATGTTTTACCATTGTACTCGGGGTAGTCACGATGTCTATTCGGACCGGTCGTGACTGTCTTTCTCCACCACCTGGTTTGATATTGGGAACCTTTTGGAAGCAAACAGTAAGATTAGTCAGGTACGAAAAACATTTTGCTATAAAACGCCGCTTGTATTTTTTCTTTAATCCAGTACATCTCGAAGTGGACTTGTTCACTCATAGACTTTTACGAAACAAGTGGGCTTTTATTTTAAAACATGTCGTCAAAGCTAATCGTGGTGTTTGGAGGCACAGGCAAACAGGTAAATGCTGGTTCATGGCTGCCAACTGCCCAAAAAAAAAGAAAAAAACTCTGCGGGCATTAACATACAATTGCTTTCAGGGAGGCTCAGTTATCAACTCCTTCCTAAATGACCCAACGTGGAGAATTCGTACCATCACTCGAAATGTCAGCAAACCACAAAGCATAGCTTTACAAGAAATAGGTGTTGAAGTCGTTCAAGGCGATCTCAACAAGGTTGAAACTCTCATTGCTGCCATTCAAGGCGCGAACGTTGTCTTTGGTGTAACTGACTTCTGGGAACCTTTCTTCAACTCAGCTACGCAAGATAAGCTTGCTGCTGGTCAACTCATCAATCAATACTGTTACGGCGTGGAAATCCAGCAAGGGAAGAACATTGCAGATGCAGTAGCAACTATTGCCGATGAAACCCTCGATTTGTTTGTATGGTCTACTTTAGCAAATGTCAAGAAGTGTAGCAATGGAAAGTATACCTGGGTGTACCACTTCGATTCCAAAGCCGAGATCTATGACTACATCAAAAAATCACTTCCACAACTAGCAAAGAAAACCTCCTCGGTTTTGATTGGCAACTACGCTGATAACTGGATATCCGCACCCTTTACTGCTCCTCGAAAAGCCGCAGATGGTGTGTACGAGCTATCAACATTCGCAAAAGCTGAAACATTGAATCCTTGGGTGAACACCCGTGGTGACACCGGAAAATTCGTACGAGCTCTTGTGCAAGCGCCACCAGGAAAGGATTTGTTAGGGGTTAGTGAGATGGTGACCTACGGCGATTATTTGAAGACATGGGGTGATTTGAATGGAGTGCCCACTAGATTTAATCAGCTTTCTGCCGAAGAATTTCATAAAACCCTTCCAGCGGCTGTTAGCAAGGAAATCCAAGAAAGTCTTGCGTTCAATGAAGAATTTGGGTGGGACGGCGGTGAGCCTGGTGTCCTGCGTCCTTCCGACGTAAGTACTTTTTCTCAGCGACCGTGAAATTGGAAATTCGTCATTGACTGAATCGTTTGCAGCTTAAATTGGAAGAACCACTAACCAATGTCAGGGAATGGATCAAGGCGCAAGATTGGTCAGCTATTATTAATTGAAGAGGCATAGTGAATTTTTATAATGTTCCAAAGCACGATCTGATGAGTCGAATAAATATATTGGTGTCACATCGCTTTGAAAAACCTATTATGTTATCTATTATTTTGCGAATATAAATGTGGAGCGTTTCCGGTATAGACGATAATCTAATACTATTGCAGGTTAAGGATCTTTTATTGCGAAAAGGGTTACGAGCGTTAGCGAGTAACGCGTCGCAATAGTGACAATGGAATTATTTGCGCCTGAGGTTAAGGATCTTTTATTGCGAAAAGGGTTACGAGCGTTAGCGAGTAACGCGTCGCAATAGTGACAATGGAATTATTTGCGCCTGAGCGAAGCGAAGAAGCCTTGCTGCAGTACAAAAATAACAACAAGTAAGGAAATGGAGGTGGTAAGGGAGCATAAAGAGAGGGAGGGAAAAAAAAAGAAAGAGAATTGAAGTGGACGCTAGGAGAAGTTCTAAAAAAGAAAATAAAAAATAAAAAGGAAGGGAGGAGTAAAGAAGAAATATGCGGGGGTACAAAAAGAGAGGGTGTACATATTGAGTACACGAAGAAAGAGAAAGGG